AACTAATAAAATTGCTTTAATATGTTTCTTTTATTAATAGAGAAATTAAATTAGGAATAAATGATGAGTGTTTTGGTTTGTAGTTGAGTTCAAAATAGACCTAAGTGTGGACTTGATCTCCCTTTTTGATTGCCACATAAACTAGACAATATCCACTTTTAGTTGCATTGGGAGAACCTGACAAAAAAGATTCTCCTTCGAATTCGGTATAACCTTGTGATAGTCGAATTATCACCATATGCCACTTAACAGGAATACAATCAATAGATTGGCCACACGTATGGACAGAGAAGAAAAGAAGCATGTTTTCATTCTTGTCATCAAACAATGTACTTACAATTATTTTTGGCACATCAAGTTGTGTAGTGATAGGCGATCAGACCATACCAGTGACATCACCTAATTGTAACATACAGTTTTTCTTCTTCGAATCAAGCAACAAAATTGTGACATCTGATACCGGCCATCCATTTATATTGGAAATGTCCTCAATTTCTTTCTCGGTTGGTGAAAGCTAATTATCAGCAATATTCAGCTTTAGTGGTTTTCAACTGGCTCGTTCATTAGCCATATGTTTGTTGTCCTCCACTGACGATATCAGATCTTCTTTGTCAAAAATTAGCGGACCATCATGCTTGGACTACCCATCCTCATCGAAACGAGGCAGACCCTCATACTCGGTAAACCCTTGCGCGTCCACAAAGGCCTTGAAAATTTGGGGATCTCGACTCGAAATGATGACTTCCAATCCCACACCTCCATCGCGCCGAAAAGAGAACTCGGAGAAGGTGTCTTCAAAGTCACCTTCGCCGACCCACGGTGGAGGCGATCGAGCGCGGAATAGGATAAATGACACTCATCTTTGACCACCAATTCAAGACGTCGAATTTTTGTGGTTGAACTGGTTCACGAGAAATCGCAAGTATCAAATTCGAGACGATGTAATGATCGAGCTCACTGTATCTAGTCTCATTTATCCTTTAGATCTTAGCATTTTTGTAGGGATTAAAATTGTTCTCCCACCAGTCACCAAAGTATTCGACTTTTTGCGTCGTCTTTTTCCATTGTCCATAAGAAGAAGACTTAGAAACACTAGAAGAAAATGACGTCGGGTTTCCCTAAACAATTTATACAATAAAAGTTTTGCTTGCTCAATGAGCTACCATGGGTTAGGTGGGAGTTGATACATAATATCATAATATATGTGAAGTTTGTTGAGCAAACAATTTTCAAGTAATGACGAATGTTACAAAGATGCAACTACAAATTTGTTGGGAATGAAAAAATAATATTTAATCATTTTCTTAACATATATCTTACAAGTTTGCCTTGTTTGTCACGATCACTAGTAAAAATATCTCTAAAATCCCACATTACGGCTACACGACTTACAACAAATTGAACATTATGATTGTAAACTAGTACGAATCCCGTGCGATGCACGAGTAAGAGATATTCATTAATATTTATAAATTAAAAATTCTTATTAAAAAATATTTATAGATTAAAAACATGGAATCAATATTTAATACAATGTACTTATATTAATTTATTGAAAATATGATATACATTTTAAAAATTGTGCAAAATTACATAAAAATGTCTATGTAAAATTAGTACACAACTCGCACGTTGCACATAACTGATAATAAATTACATTATATTCGTTTCATAATATGTGTCATTTCAAAATTTTTATTCAAAAATTCAATTTGACTATAACGTGATTCCATAAAATAATTGTTTTGGTAAATTTTATCATATATTTAAAAACCTATGTGAATAATAAGAATAAATATAAAACTTATATTGTTCATTAATTAAAATAAATTTATTTTTGTACAAAATATCCAAATCGAAATATTTAAGTAGTTGATTAAAAACAATTAGTAATAAGATTTTTTTATGCCAAAAAAATTGACACTCCTCATCATGCTAAAAAAAATGAACAGTGCATTTCACACAAAAATTATTTAAAATGTCGTAACAGAAAATGAATTAAATCGAGACCCACTAATTATACACAAAAACATTCACCAGAGCTTTTTCTATAAAAAAAAAACACATCGATACACGCAAATTATATCAAAATATCAGTTCATAATATTTTGTCAGAGTTACGGTAATTTTATTATGTTAATTTTATACGAAAACTTGAAACCCACACCTAAAAACCAATATATTGGTCTGCGCATTACAAAAAAATGTACACTATATATTGATTAAGTTTTCAACAAATTTCCTACTAAAAAAAATGATCAAATAACCTAAATAAATTTGTTCACTTTATACCATATATTGATTAATTTATTTCCTATAGAAACAACCATCACTACCAAAAGTAAATTCGTTCACTATATACCATATATCAATTCATATGACTTGAGCAATTAAGGTATCTTAATACATGGTTTAATTACTTCCTTAAATAATTAGTCGCAATTTCCATAAGTGAACATTTGATATACACCATAAATTGTTAAATTAACTAGTACAGAGCCCGTGCGATGCACGGGGTGCACAATTTTAAGGCTATTTATCCAGGCTTATAATTATATACATGAATAAAGAAAAATGTACGGGATATATATAGTACATGACCCGTGCGACGCACGAGATATATTTATTTGGAGAATATTATATTATAAGGTGCAATATTCAATAAAAGTTTATAATACGCAAGAAAATTGTACAATGTTCAATAAAAGTTTTATAATATTCAAGTGGAGTCTTAAAGTCTCTTGTACATTAAGATTACTGACAAAATAATATTTAATCAATGAGTTTCCTTTCCTTGTATCCAAATTGTGAATGTGATTTGAGGAGTACAACAAATCGATATATAGTTGACTTGCTTTTTTCATTGTAGTTTTTTTTTTTTTTTTTTTTATAATGAATTTAAAGATATTCTAAAATATAGCAAAAATTAATTTTTTTATTACAATTAGGAATTTTACTAAATATAAACTCTCAATCTATGGTGTTAATCAACGTTTAAGTCTAAAAAATTAGGAATTTTTACCTCTTTTAATCAACGTTTAAGTCTAAAAAACAATAGAGTTATTATAAGTTTTTTTTCTACATCTTTTAAAACATTAAATATGAGCATGTTAGGGCTAGCTTGTAAAATAATTAATATATTATCTCACTAAAACATTTATACTAATAAAAATTTAATTTTAGCATATAAATTTATCCCTTAATATAAGAGAAAGTAACAATTTTACTTATTGTTGTTCACCATATAATATTTAATTATTATTTTATTATATAATAAAAAAGAAGTATTGTTAAATAGTGTAGTAGAATTGTTATAAAATTATATGATTTTTTTTTTTACAATATGGATTTAATATTTTTTTATGATTTGATAATATAAACAAATCTATACTTAACTTTGACAAATAAAACAAATAAATACTTTAGTAAGTACTTATTGTATATACTAAATAGGAATATATTTGGTATAATCAAATACCAAATATAATCAAATAAGTCAAAGTGTATATTTTTATTTGGTATTTGATTTTTTTATTATTAATTTTTTTTATTATACTTACATTTTTAAAATAAAACAAATAAATAAATCAATTAAATAAATGAAATATATAGTACCAAAATAGTAATGACATTTAATGCAGTTGAATTTTATGGATAGTAAATGTAGTAAATAGAATCTCCTTTTATATAAGTATAGATTATATAATACGGAAATAGTAATGCAATAAATGTTGTTGACTTTTCTTTATACTAAATCTGGTAAATGGTATATCTTTTAATATAAGTATAGATTGTATAATACGGAAATAGTAATGTAATAAATGTTGTTGACTTTTCTTTATACTAAATCTGGTAAATGGTATACCTTTTAATATAAGTATAGATTTCCCAAAATAGTAAATATATTTTCTTTAGGGAAATAGTTACTATTTAAAAAATAATCAAATCTTATATATATAACATTAGTAGCATCTTGAAAATCATTTGTTGGTTTGCCATAATTTATAACAATAAATAATATAAATTTACTACCTGAGAAAATCATTTATTACATTCTTGTTTTGTTAAATGGAGAGAAAAAGTGAAAGAAAGATTAATAGTAATAAACCATACAAAATAAGCCAAAAAAAAAATGAGGAAGGCAAAATAAAAAGTTGCTTTTAGTAAAAGATTTGTTGCTGCTGGGATTCGAGCCCAGGTCTCCACGGCCACAACGTGGAATTCTCACCACTAAACTACAGCCACAAAAAAATTTTCAAATTTTACTTACTACAATTGATTATTACTATCCTCATTTTATTAGGTTTAAAATTTAAAATGATATTTAAATTTGAAATCGAGCTAACTTCAAGAAGGATGATAATAGGTTGGTTTGATTGGAGTATTATAATGCATTTTCAATGTGGGTCTAAAATATTATGTTTGTATAGTTTTTTCGTATCCGCATAACTGCCTATTTTTACATATCAACCACATTTTTAGACTACTAAAACACTTTAGGCATTGAAAATAAATTACTTTAGATTACGTTTAATTTGTTGAATGAATTAGTTAATTTTAAATAAAGTTGATTGAGTAGAAATTTTAATTTTTATTTAAAATACTATTTAACATGTACTGATTAAAGTTGATTTTATGCAAAACTAAGAAAGATTTGATCGGAAGTGATGAATAGTTAAAATTTAAGTGAATGAGTAGTGAATTAACGTTGATGTAATATGTGATAGTGATTGAGTAATATTATTTAATTATATTAATAATAATTCAAAGAGTTAAATTGGATTAATTTGAGTTAGATATTGAATAAGAAAAATATCCGACCAATCAAAACAGTTTTGTATATTTTATTTCCTGTCACTCCTTTGATGTTCAAGTCTCATGTGTCTAAGACTGGATTTTTNAAATTTTTTAAACTTCTGAACTTTTTGCCATTTTGTGAAAATTGCATAAATAATCCACTAAATTTGACCTATACAATACATACAAATTGTGCATTACAGGTGAAATTTTCGAATTTAAGTCATGAGATCTCACGAACTCACTCTACTCACATATAACTTGTAACAAATAACACAATGCTTTTCTGATAGGTATGAATCTTGCATGCAATTTTTTGAACATTAAGTCATCATGCTACTGAGCAAGATCAAATTACTGCTTTCCATTTCTTCTGATAAGAGGGATCAAGAAATATAAAATGAAACTGGATTGCCCTATGGTGACACACAAAACCTGAGGGCTGTGTTACTGTACCCTACTGCACCAAAACTGAAACTAACATTTCAATTGATAACCGAACGAGAAATTTTGTAAGGAGTGAAAAAGAAAGACAAAGGAGCAGCTTTTTTTGTCGAACTTCTTGATGATAGTAACTATAACAAAAGCATCTGTACATATTCAAGCAGATTCCTTGAAAATCGCAAGAGCTTCGTGGTAAGAATTCATTTTAGCCGACAAACCATAACAAATGCTCGATAACAGTGCACCAAACCTCCAACAATGGACGCCAAGCAAAAGTAGATTCATCCATACATGTTCGTTTGTACATTCCTCACCTTCCAATCCCGAATTTTCTAAAACCGTACGATTTTCTGGAACTTCAAGCCAGCTAAAATCGACAGGGTTCTTAATCCCTTTCAAGAAACTGCTCTTGTAAGCAAGCATGCACCAAACTTTTGGCGTTATATCAGCAATGCAACTGTATAACCTTCCCTTTGTATCCTCAAACTCTTTAATTTGATCGGGGCCAACTGATTTTGGCTTCAAAATATCGGCCAAATTACAAGTATTGCAATTTTTAGTCAAAACCGATGAGAAATCCAAAAGGGCTGACTCGGGATTCAGAAAAGTATCCCAAAGAGAGTTTCTTGCAAAGTTCAGAATAGATTCGCCTGCATTTATCCAGAAATTCGCAGCTGTTGCTATTAGAGCAGGCTCAAATGCATAAAGATGATGGGCCCCACCAGCAAGCAAGAGGGAATATGCAGCACTCGTCTTGTACATATTAAAAGCTTCACGATTTTGTCTTTCGACATCATAATGAAGAGCCATTAGGTCATTGGCACGGATTTTGTAAGCAGAAGCTAGGGTAGTGTAAGCATTTAGAGAGAGATGGTGCAAAGGATGAAGTTTCAGCTTTTGAGGTGATTTTGACTCGTTCTGTTGTAGTGAGTCGCTGTAAAGGAGCAAATTCTCGATCTTTTTACAGCATGAAATTGGATCATCGAACGATAGATAATCAGCTATTGCATCATTGAAGCTTTGCATTAGTCTCTCTATCATGGTATCTGAAGGCTCGGGAATAGTACTGCAATTACCAGCTGAGAGAGCCTACAGAAGAAATAATTTTCAAACCCGAAAATAATTCTTTTTGTTAAGTTATTTCAAGCATAAAAACAAGTAAAGAACAACATAATCTGATAAATATGACAGTATTACGACTCACTATTAATTAAATTCTTACTTGCAGAGCATTATCCACATAAGTTGGGGGAACCGAATTACAGCGCTTACAGCTACACGTAAACCGATACTTAGACCATAATTCTGCTCGTCTCATTTCCTGCAGAAACCAATGACCAGTATACATTTTTCAAAATCTACAAAAGCTATTACAGCAATCCGAGATTCCAATAAAGAGGCCAATCATGCTGAAATTTGGGCCAGAATTTATAAAAATGAAAAATGTTTAACTAATCAAACACTTCTTAATCTTTTGTAAGTCAGTTCTTTGACATTGGAGGTATGTAGTATTAAATCTGTTCATACNTCTTGTAAGGTGTCTTCCTTTCTCTGCCAAATCAAACTCATAATTTTCACTCAATTTTTTCAATCTTCTCACAAAAAACGTAAGATAAAGGTAGGAAAGCAAATTGACGAACTTCTCCTACCTATTGCGACTAAAATAAGTATGAATGAAAATCGACTCTAGTAAGATGACCAAAGCTATAAACAATACTCATTCTCCTCAAAAGTCAATCCATATACAAAAATCTGAAAATACCACATACATCAAAATTTCAATCACAAAGCTGTTAATTTCCAAAAGCAAATCCAACCTTAGGTTGCAACAAATCCGTGTATGCAATCGTCACCTCTTCTCCCTTTCTAACATCTTTTATACTACGAACTACAACACTCGGACCATAACCATTTTCCTCTACATCACCTGCAAATAATTTACCCTTCAGCAAAGTTACTCAACTCGAAGAATAACACCACTAAATTCTCAACCCAATGCATTCATTCATATGAAATACCTAAACACGAGTATTGCAAATCACCTTCCACCATCAAAGCACAAGAACCTCCATTTTTCACAGCCGGAACAATCCTAAGAGACGACTGCTCATTCTCCTGCGGACCCACCAAAAATCTGTAGCAAGCGTTTGGAGAACAACTGTGATTGATCCAAGAAAATGCAGGACCATACACAGCAACTCCCAAATTGAACCCACACTCATCTTGGACCTCCACGGCGTTCGTTAGCACCAGGCACAATACCATCTCCTCAAACAAGAAATGATTTGGTTCGTGGACATTTATGGGCTCACCCAAACACGCCCTCCTAGCTTTCGCCACCAACATTGCCCCTTCACTAATCCTTTCGAATAAATTATCGTAATTAACGCAATTTTCACCTTCGTTGTTTTGATTTGGCCCACAAACTAATCTCTCACGATTGGTCATCAAACCTGTAATCCTCTCCAAATCGGTGTCGTTCTGTTCGAGATGGAAAAGGTTGCTCTTTTGGGGGAGCTTCTGGAAAATGGAGACGAGGCGGAGGGAGAGGCGGAGGTCGGAGGAATCGATCCACGTGGAGGGAGGTGATTGGAGGAAGAGGGAGAGGAGGTGGGCCTCGCCGGAGGACAGGTGGAGCGGCGAATCGGCGGAGGAGCAGCCCGGGGAACAGTAGAGTAGAGTAGGGGAGTTGTGGTGGGGGTTTGGGGGAGAGACGAGGGGAAATGGGTGCGGTGGAAGGGCGGAGAAGCAGGCGGAGCAGTAGGAGGTGAGGGCGGAGTCGCGGAGGACGGCGGCGAGGGGGCGGAGGGGAGGGGTGAGGTTTTGGCCGATGGCTATGTCTTCAGTTGTTCTCAACTCATATTCCATAATTTTCTGTTCTCACTTATGAGGAATATATGGGCCAACTCTTTTCAGTTTTCATTAAGAGTTATTGAACTATTATATCTTTTTTCCTGAATTTCTATGAAATTTTGATGAAAAAGTAAAATAAGATAGGAAGAAGAGCTGAATAATCATCACATGGTGGGCAACTCTACATCAGTGTAAAAAAATATGCATCGAACCGAAACAGTTGAAAAATTGAGATTGTGAAGTTTTCTAACATAATCGCAAGGGAAGTGAAATTGAATCGAAACTTTGTACACTAAATAACTGAATCCAACTACACAAATTTGCACGCTTCAACTCGATTTTTTTTTCTATGCATTCGAATTTGGCTCGTGCAAAATCAAACGGAACTAGAAAATAAAAAACTGAACTTGT